TACCAGCATCTCGCGGTCCTATGAATCACATTACAATTCTAGCTATATCGCGCACGGCACTGTGCCAACGCACGTCCCACTTAAATCTTGCAGCTCGCCCCGTATCTGTACACCTCGTTGCAGCCGATGAAAATTCCGAATCCCTGCCGTCGCTGTCATGGGAAAAACAAGCGTCTCGTAACCGTCTCGATGCATCGCTGGACAGTAATACCGAAGGAGCTGCGTAGTTTAGCTCATAATATCTCTCTGATTATGAGCTCTTGTGATAATACGTGTCCATAAATGGATTGGCCGTTAAATCTTTGCAAACATACCATTTTAGTGTTGCTCCACATGACATTGAAATGGAGGAGATATTTTCAATATATCAGCCAACCAACGTTTGTAAGCAGGGGAACCTCAATAAATAGGCATTGTAGAGAGATGCTCACAAGTTACAATTTTTCCCGCTAAAACTTCGCTAATTCGCTTGAGCAAAATCCTCCGGTATAATTTCCGAGGGGATTTGAACGACGTTTCACAGCCGTTTCACTGACGCTTTCGTTTCCCGCATTTATAACCAGTTATAGGCAATGTATTACATGACGCAGATATAAGACGCACGCGGACCTTCAGTCAGCGAAACAGTCATTTTCCCTCGTGCGTGCGGATTTTAGTTCCGCGACTAGCGAAAACACATATGCAGTACATTTACTCGCATTTTTCTCTGATGGATACACATTTTCTGAATTCCCTTGCCAGACGTATATTGCCCATGCACTCCATGCATACTTATAAAGTGGCGCGACTTGGCAACTAGCATCGAAACACAATTTAGCGTGGTGCCAATAAAAGATATGCCACGACACAGAATGGAGATAATGAAATATGTTGGCAAATTGTATGCTACGCACACGCGACACAGCACGCACGCGCGCAGCACGCACGCCGCACTGCCACGCCACACACACAACACACACACACACCTACACACACAGAAGAGAGAAGCAGGAGAAAGAAGGAGCAGAGACCGGGCAGGGAGAACGAGAGAGAAAGAGAGGAGAGAAAGAGAGAGGAGAGAGACTCCAAGAAAGATTGAGAGAAAAACGGAGTCTCGAGAGAGGAGAGAGAGAGAGAGGTTCTGAGGACGTGGGTGATCTAGAGAGAGAGAAAGAGAGAGAGAGAGAGAGAGGAGAGGGGCACGAGGATTTAGTTAGAAGACGATGAGAGAGATTAGAATAGACGAGAGAGAGAGATGAGAGAGAGACCGAGAGAGAGAGAGAGATTAGAGATAGATAGAAGAGAGAGAGAGAGCAGGAGGATGAAGAGAGAGAGAGAGAGCGATGAGAGAGAGACGGATGACGATGAGAGAGAGAGAACGAGAGAGACGAGCAGCGAGAGCAGAGAAGAATGACTGAGAGAGAGAGAGAGAGAGACCGAGAGAGAAGAGAAAAGAGAGAGGAGCAAGAGTAGAGATAGAGACGAGAGAGCAGAGAGAGGTGATTACGCACAAGCGAGAGCCAAATGCATCAGGCGAACAGACAGTAAAGGAGGTATGGTCGTGTACACCGCATGCATGTGCATTCACCTACGGCAATACACGGGGGCGCCATGCACATCCTTCATCATATTTCACTCCAGGTGGAACCCTGGTAGCCCTCAGGGCCAACCACGCACACGCACACGCACACGCACACGCACACGCACACGCACACGCACACGCACACGCACACGCACACGCACACACACACACACACACACACACACGCACACACACACACACAAATACGTAATACTCCAAGAGATATATGGCTTCAATAACAATCTTTCAGAGATGTTCTGACACGGCCATTCCGTATATAAAAACGCTATTTATTTCAGAAAAACAGTTTTGCTGAACAGGATTCGGAACAGTGAATAGGATTTCGGCTACATTTTTTATATTAAAACATGACCAAAGTCAGATCCTTTCAATTGGATGTCACTTGAATTACACTGCTATACATTCTGTGGCCAGTTCGGCTCCCACAACAGAAAGAAGGGATGTGACTAATATTGAAACCCAACGCGGCTAGCCCACCTTCCCTTGTTCCCACATCACACAGCCCACCCACATGCACGTGTCATGCCTTAGTGTGAGGGTCTCTAAGTGCGTGGGCCAATACCTCGCCTTGGACATTTACATTACCTCTATCGACCTGTGCCCAGCACAGGCACTTGGGACAGAGTCAGTAAAAACTGAAAATAATATGAACGCAAAATTCATTCATTCACAAATATCACCGTAGCTCTCAATTACAGTTCCACTGTTGTGTCACTGTATATCAACTTTCCTTCATAAAAACTAACGCCGAACGCACCCGCATTCGCCGCTGCGAGTGTGAGCACTGTGTCGCCAAAATTATAATGATAATAATATATAACGATATTATTACCTTTATATATTATTATCATTATAATGGCGACGTATCATTATAGGTACGGTAATATTTCAGACATGCCAACATTCACTGAAGCCAAAGAGTAATGATTTCTAAATTCCCGGTTTTGACAAACGCCGCAGGCGTTTGTGGGGGTGGGCATGAGAGGGTGTGTCCCCCTCCCATTGAGGGGGGGGGTTGGAGGTCCTCCCCCAAGAAAATTTTGAAACTTAGATGCTCTGTGGTGCATTCTGGAGCCATCTGTGGCACTTTCAGCATTGATTTAAATTAGGCAAAACGATGTTTTTCTGCCTGAAAATAGTGGGGAAAATCAAGAATTATTTCAGAGATTTATCAAACGAGAACTAAATTTTATTACAGTAAACTTGTGCATACACCCACAATCATAGGGAACATTAATGGAACAGGATACCCTGATTATGTTATCTTTCTTATTGACTCAATAGTGATTACATAGTGACACAAAATATCTCAGATCTCTGCTAAACAAAAAAATGACTATACATGTACTACAAACACTTTCACAAAAATGTGTCAGTTCTCTAGATCTGCTGAAGAAATAAATGAAAAGTTTGCTGAAGAAATAAATGACTATACAATGTACATGTAGTGTACTACAAACTCTTTCACAAAGATTCACACTGGCACACAGGGGCTTTCCCAGTGCGGGAATTCCGGCGGCAAGTTTGAAATTTATTGAAATTTACTAAAAGTCGTAATAATGGATGACTTAGGCGTAATGGCGTAATTAATACACCAAAATCGTAATAATTACGCCCAAATCGTAATGGTTGGCATGTCTGCTATTTGTGAATGTGCGTTCATATTATTTTCAGTTTTTACTGACTCTGTCCCAAGCGCCTGTGGTACCCAGCGCCTATAAAATAACCATCAGGCCGTAGGTATAGGAGACAGTGCATGCTTTGCTGGGCGAGCAAATAAGAAGTGTGTTGAAACTGCTAATTGCGAGGTACACCTACCGGTGAACCCGGACCATCACACCTATAACTAGACAGAGGGCACTCACGGAGAGTGCATACCTCCGCCAGCAACATGTACACGCTGGCTTGCTGCTCGCTCACTCGTAGCAAGGAGCTAAATATAACAAGGAGAGGAAGCGCCGCCATATCTGGCCCAATTATTTTGCCATATTTGGTCATATTGGTCCAGAACAGATTAGTGTTCTATTGTCTCTGGGGGACGGATCTGCACAGCCGTTTCAGCTAATTATGGTCCATAGATGGCGTCCTTGAGGCGAAAAGCACACAGCCAATCTGCTTCCTCTCCTTGTTATATTTAGCTCCTTGACTCGTAGCAGCCGCTCGTTGCTGCTGCTCGCTCACATGTACACGCTCGCTGCGCTGGCTGGCTCGCTCGCTGACGCGCTAATATCGATCGCGCGAACACACGAACACACTAACACATGAACGCACGAGAGCGACCACATAACCTCCTCCAACTCCGTTGGGCGGAGGTAATTAACAGAACCGTGGTTTAAAATAAAAATGGCAGCACAGCTGGCAGCGCGAAGTGAACGCGTACCTGCATGTATGCGTGCCACGCAGGAGGGAAGACTATTCGCCTCTCTATTACCCCATGACCTTCCCCGGTGTGATATGCAGCATCTGAGCCGTATATGTGTATATACTCCAGCTGAATGAAGATCCGTTCTATTACGACAAAGTAGCGTTGCATTTCGCATGCGCTATATCATTCTGCCTTCCACGATATCATTTGATTGGTGTGTGGGGTGTACTGCCGGTGTGTGGATTCTGTGAGGGATTGGTGTGTGGGGTGTACTGCCGGTGTGTAGATTATCGTGGACCTGTACGATTCTCGTGATTCGCGCTGGATGCTGCGAGCAGCTGACTCCGCGTCGCGCCTACCTCCAGTAACTCGGCGACGACTTCGGTGTGACCGTACTGAGCTGCAGAATGCAGCGACGTCTCACCGTCCTTATTCTGCAACACAACGATGAGACAACCAATTAAGATGAGACAACCAATTAAGATGAGACAGCTAATTAAGATGACAGCTAATTAAGATGAGACAGCTAATTAAACGGGTGCTATCCGTCGGACGAGGCGAGCAAGGTTCAGTGTTCATGGTTCAAGCTCCCGGGACTAATCTAACTAACTTCAGCTGAATGTTGTTTTTGACAGGCACCCCCCCCCCCCGTGGGAAATGACAAGAAATGCTGCAAATTCTAGTAAATTCTAGGGAAATGTCCACATTAGAAACCACTAGCTGAAATCTACAGAGGACTAATCACGCTCATTCTCAATTGGCGTGGCAACATCAATTACATCCTCAACTTCATCAACTTCTCATCCCTTTGCATTAAACTGCCAATTATTTCTTACTGCTTGCAATAGGCGCAGGACACGTACTAGTCATCACTGCAAGTATTACTTGTGTGCTGCATCCATTAAGCTCAGTGGCGTACATTGCTTAATATAATACATTTTGCGCCCAAGCAGGCACGCGCAGACGCATGTGTCCACACACAAACGCACGCGCGCATGCATCGCACGTGCGAATGAACAAGCCAGCTATATATATGCACGTACACATGCACGCACACACGCAAACACGCAAACGCACACACGCACGCACATTCACCCATGCACGCGCACACACGCGCACGCACATTCACCCATGCACGCGCACACACGCGCACGCATACGCACGCACATTCACCCATGCACGCACACGCACGCACATTCACCCATGCACGCACACACACGCGCACGCACACGCACGCGCACACGCACGCACATGTGGCACAACCGCATGTGCACTAAAAACCATTCACTAACTACGATGGCGTACGTTGTAGTGTTTCCTTGCTGCTGAAAGCCGCCTACGTCACCGATCAATGTAACGCTAGCAACAATGCCGGCAATAACACTAACCGTGCAATTTCCCACCGAATGTGAAGGGCACTTATCTGTCAGCTGAGCCAATGTTCTCGCACGCACGCACGCACGCACGCATGCACGTACGCACACCACTCGGGTATATGACTAACAGTAACATGAAGCGAGTTGCTGCTGAGGTAGGAAAGATTGTTACATCCCTGGCGTAGAAAAGATTTGATTCAGAGGGGAAGAGAGGGAGTTAATTACTATACGCACAGTCAAAGAGACAGTTACTATGCAAAGGTTCATATTATTATGAACACTAGCTGAAACCCGTGCTACGCGCGGGCTTAGTGACTGTGAAGCATGTGTTACCAGTAAAGTAGTGTTATGTGTAAGGTGTTATATGGAGAGTTTAGTTGTTGCACATGTTTGTTTTTTTATGGTTGAGATGTCAATGTACAATCATGCTTACACGTAACACATTAACCATTTGTTTGGCAAGTACACAGTGAAATACAGACACACGCACGCACGCACGCACGCACGCACACACAAACACAAATGTTTTATTGTATGCTATGTAGGAACTACTGGTTGATGATACCAGAGCACTTATATCAACTGTTGATT